AGGGCGACAAGGTGAAGGAGGCGATGGATGAGGAGATGCGGAGCTTGATTGAGCAGGGGACGTGGGAGTTGGTTCCGCGTCCGCCAGGGGTGAATGTGATGAAGAACCGCTGGATCCTGAACACCAAGTTCCGACCTGATGGGGTAGTGGAGCGTGAGAAGGCGCGGCTGGTGGTGAAGGGGTTCACGCAGGTGGCAGGGGTGGACTATGAGGAGACGTACGCCCCCGTGGGAAGCTATGTGACGGCGCGCGTACTTCTGGCGATCGCAGCTGCACTTGACTTGGAGCTGATGCAGCTAGATGTGAAGAATGCGTTCCTCCATGGCGTGCTGGACCGAGACCTGTACATGGAGCAGCCGAGCTACTACGAGGATGGGACTCCTCGTGTCTGTAAGTTGTTGAAGAGTCTGTATGGCCTCAAGCAAAGCCCGATGCTGTGGTATGAGGCCTTGGATGGGGTGCTGCTTGGGGCTGGATGGAAGAAGAGCAAAGTGGATGAGGCTTTGTACTTCAAGAGTGATGCTGACGGGGAGATGTGCTGGCTGCTGGTGTATGTGGATGATTTGCTTGCTGCCAGCCGCAGTCAGAGCATGCTGGGGGAGCTACGTGAGCTGCTGCAGAGTGCGTTTCAGCTGCGGGAGATTAGCCCTGTGGAGAAGTACCTGGGGCTGCAGCTGATTCGGGACAGGCCTACGAGGAGGCTGTGGCTGCACCAGGGGGCCTACGTGGACAAGGTCCATAGGCGCTTCTTCGACGGGGAGCAGCCGCTGCGAGTGCCTCGCACCCCCCTTTCCTCTGACCCTTTCAGTGTGCAGACCTTTGAGGATGCGGGATGGCAGTCTCGCCAGGAGGAGGAGTACAGGCAGAAGGTGGGATCCTTGCAGTTCGCAGCCTGTACCACTCGTCCCGACATCTCCTTTGCCTGCAGCAAGCTGGGGTCAGGCCAGACTGTGCGGAGTGACCAGCACTGGAAGGAGTTGGACCGGTGCTTGGCGTACTTGGTGGGGAGCAGGGATGTTGCGCTGGAGTTTGGTGGTGGGCCTGAGTCCTTGGAGCTGGTGGGCTATGCCGATGCGGATGATGCGGGAGACAAGCAGAACAGGACTAGCACTGGTGGCTATGTCTTCGTGCTCGGAGGTGCTGCTGTCTCGTGGGCGAGCCAGAGGATTCGTTGCGCCACCCTCTCTTCCACTGAGTCTGAGTACGTTGCTGCTGTGGAGGCGGGGAAGGAGGCGCGTCGGCTGCGCTTCCTGCTGGCAGAGTTTCAACTGCTGAGGAGTGAGGTTCCCACTACTCTCTTTGTGGACAACTCCTCCGCCATTTCAGTGGCAGGTGGCATGGGGCTCAAGGGGAGCCTCAAGCACATGGAGCGTCGTCACATGTGGCTGCAGCACATGGTCAAGCGCAGGAAGCTGCAGCTGCAGTACATCCCTACGAGCGAGCAGCCTGCTGACTACCTTACCAAGGCATTGCATTTCCCCGCCTTCAGTCGTTGCTTCGAGGCTGTGGGGCAGGTGAGGCTCTCGAGCGAGGGGAGTGAGACCTAGACACTCCGTGATGTGGATGGTGCCATGGCCTATCCATGGCTGGTGCGGTGCGTGTTTGCACTTTGAGAGTGCTTCGTTTGTGTGTGTTTCCCTTTGTTTGGTGTGTATGTGTTTATGCATGCCCTGTGATTATAAAGGGCCTTGCTGTAGTATGGCAGGGGAGTGTTAGAGGGCCCTACGACAGCAAGGGCCCTCGCGAAATGTTAGACTTGGCAGGTTGACGACCGACGACCTGGTCTACTCGGCACCGTCGCACAGGTTCGATGGCAGTCAAGTGTGACTACGGGTGAATGCGAGCTGCAGTAAGGAATCTGCTGAAGTCGGTGCTGGGAAGTAGAGTCGTGGGAGTCTTTGTGTGCTTCCTTATGAGGCACGCCACTCCCAAGCTGAGTCGGATGGAGTTGCGTGCTCGGAAGGTTTTCGCTGCTGAGTTGGATGGAAGTTTGGCGGGGCGCGTTCGCCAACTCCCACAGCACTTTCGTGTGGGTTGGGTTACTCGCAGCGCCCTCGCTACCTTTTGTGAACGCTTGCTTGCCTTTATATGTTTGTGTTTGCTTGTGTGTTTCATATATTCTATTTTCCTAGTGAAGTCCAATCTCTACTCAAATTCTCACTTAGTCATTTGAGACCAACGCTACCCAAACGCTACCGAATTCCTAGCGCAACATCATTCCCATAAGCAGAATCTCTCTCGCCGTCGTAGTGCTCTCCATAATATTCCTTCATCCCCATATTGATGTGGATCCGACGGTCAGAAAGCAGGCAGAAGGAGCGGTCGAGCAGGCCGTTGAAATCGAAGCGCGTGCCGTCCGCGCCGCGGAAATGCGGATCGCCTTTGGTGCCGGCGAGGGGATTGCACATGCCCCCGAAGTGTGTCGGAGCCACCGACGTGACCCAGTTGGTCACGGTGAGTCCCGTTAGTGATCCCAGCAGGGTGTATTTAAACGGACTTGTTCTGAGATCATATCGTGTTAGAGCGCGACAAAAGTGTTGCGTCGATTCATAGTAGTAAGAAGAAGAGAAAAAAGGTAAAGAGTATGCTAACATTGAATTAGAGAAATCATGATGTACCCCGTTACCGCAGCGCGGAATGTATCATCTCGCTTACGTCGTGTTCATATGCCAGTATTTGCAGCCATCCTTAGCGGCGCAGTTGCTGCAGCATCCCGTAAACGAAGTCGTATTCTGGAAAAGAACCAGCAGAGAAGAGATCTCTTAAAAGAACACGAAGAAGTTGGAAATTAGCTACAGCTCAGGCTGGCGGCGCTGACGGCACGATATGCATAGTTTTTGGACTGCCGCATGGCAAACAGCGGTGGTCGAGGGGTCGCCGGGTCGAGCACGTAGCGCTCATAGTTGCAGTCCCCATCCTGGTTAATTAGCGTTGCCGCTGTTGCCGTATCTGACGTGAGATAGTATCCCCATCTACCTGTGCCGCACTTGTAGCATCCGCGCGCTGTGGTTATGGGACCGTGCGGAGCAGTCTCTCCAGGTAGAGCCGCACGAGCGGTTGCGGCGAGCGTGGCGAGTAGAGTCAGGAGCCAAAATGAGGCGGTGGCGCTGCTGGGGCCACGTGCCATCGTTGCGAGTAAAGAAATGGTGTAGAGGCAGGTGTCGGTTTATGGTTTCGCGTCTTGGGTTGAGCCTCGCAGTGGGGGAACGGTCGGAACTCCTAAGGATGACGGTGATGCGGTGCGGTGAAGAGTTTCTAACTCTGAAGGCGAGCTGTCTCAGGTTTTTGTAATGAAGAAATTATATACGCTGGCTTGGTGGTGGCTGGATGTGAAGAACGCAGCGAGAGGGGAGATTCATTCACTTGCAATGACGATTGAACACGGCGCACCGCGCATTGCTAAATTCTGATCGAATCGCTCAGAATTTTCCGGCCGACTTTCGATGACCGCCATGCTGTCGATTTCAGGCGCGTCATTTCAACAAGACATGTCGTCACCCTTCGTGACAAGTGTCATTGACTTGGTGTATTCTTGTCAGCATGTAGTCAATCATTCTGGGAACTTCCCTAGACTTTCCTAACAGGGCTAAATGTAAGTACTCATCTCGAACAATGAAGTTGCATTCAAGGGTCTACGTCGGACGCCATCTGGTGTCCGGAAACACAGCCCTCACTCAACGCTTAGAGAGAACTAAGGAACCATTTGGTGACGACTACCCTTTCCACTGCCGTACTGCTGCCTTTGAAGGAGAATCCGAATCGACGAGCAAACTCCAAATATTCACAGGAGGACCCGAGGTAGCTCCGGAACCATAATTAAGCTCTCAACCATAAGTAAGCTCCCCGTTCACAAACCTTAGAACATAGGCTACCCGGAACCTCCAACTGCACTAGCCCCGTTTTTAGAGAAAACGGCAGAATAGGGGGGTCTCAATTTGAAATACACACAGGAATTTCACATCGGAACTAGTCAATTGGTGCGGAGCGAAACGAACAGTCACTGCGAGTCAAGGTCTAGTGGAATTGGAACGAGTGTACAGTATGGGTCTAGTGTTTTGTACTTTGCGGTTTGTAGCACAATCTCCCCTCGGCGGTAGCGATGCTCCACGCAATTACTTCTCGATCCATCAGCCCTAGAAAGTCGTCCACCAATCATACTCAAAGAAAGATGCATTTGCTTGTATTGGGTGGGTGTGACTACAGGGGAGTAAAGGAAATGATGGGGGTGTATTAGGAGAGATGATTTGGTGCAGTGAATGAGGGATAAGTGTACTGTTACAAACCCGAATTGCTGTTTCAATCAGCAGCAACTGAAGTTCACTTGTTTGTACAGAGCTAATTAATACATCTTGGTTTTGTGTTGTTGTTCATATACGGTTTTGTCATGTGGTAACACTGCTAATGTTGGTTATAACTGATAGCAAAGATACACTCAACTCTTGCATACCAGACAATAAAGAAGCATTGCAAGAAACATCCCTGGACCTTCCTAAGCTGCTGCTGCTAATGCACTCCTTATCCCTAGAACCTTTTTGGTGGTCTGCTCATAATTTACAAACACAGCTTCACTACCACAAGTGCTGGTGGTTGTTGTCGCCACCACTAGCCTCATCTTCTCCCCTGCTCCATCTTCACTACACACATCATCACACTCACCATCTCAAGTGTGTCAGCGAACAAGCAATCCGTGAGGTGAGATGTCGTCCACACACTCATCCAGCAGCCCCCCCTGTCACCGCACTCCAATAGGTGCCAAGCAGCCAGTGCCGCATGCACCCCCATCACCCCCAATCACCGCACACGCACACTCATTATCTCATGTATCGACGTTCGTCGTCGCGCATCACTGCTCTCCTGCTCTCCATTCATCCATGCAGCAGCAAACACACAGTCCGGTGCGGCAATCCCCGACTGAGATAGTCCTCCACACGCTGGCCAGCAGCCCTCCCCCCCCCCCCCCCCCCCCCCCCCCCCCTCGCACACATAATCACACGCACTCATTATCGCATGAAATCAAGCCCATCGTCACCCATCCAGATATCCGGATCTCCCCTCCTCCACGCGGCAGAGAACACACAATCCGTGGCACCGATCCCCGAGGTGAGATAGTCCGCCACGCGCCCATCCAGTAGCCCATCGCCCCCCTCACTGCTCTCCACGTCTACCGGTTCCCGCAGCAGGCGAGTGAGCAGGCGGTGCCGCAGGGACCGCACGGCGCGAGACTCCTCGCTGCGGAAGGTCTGCCCCAACACCCCGTGAATGCCCTCCGTGTGCTGGTGGGGGGGAGGTGTGCGAAAGAGAATGGGTATATGGGCGTCGAGTGAGCGGAGGAAGGAGGGACATGCACACCAAGCATTGATTCATCTCAGAGGCGTTTAGATGCACTATCAAGGGTTTTGAGACGTGTCAGCGCTTACATTGAGTTGCACGACGTGCACGTTGAAATGCGCCTGAGCCTCAGTTGCAGTCTGCATGAGGGGATGGGCCACCCGCGCTGTCACACCCAGATCCACTACGCCCTCTATTTTCAGGTGGAACTCGTCTTCTATCCTCCCGGGCCGGCTCCTGGTCTCCGCCAGCAGCAGCTTAAAGCCTCCATCGGCGGAAATGGAGCTCCCAGGGTAAAAAGGAGGGGCCACTTCTTGGCCGTCGATCACCATCCGATTGATGAATCCCGAGGCGCCTCGGCCCTGCTCCTTGCCATCCCGCGCCTTGAGGAACGCCGAGTGCTGCACTCCCGTTGCATCTCGCCACATCACTTGAAGCTCCCTGGTGGCATGAGTGGAGGAGAACTATGCGAGAATGAACACAGGAAAATGGTCGCATGCAAACATGGATTGCATGATATTGCTTCGTTGATGCCATGGCTGCTACAATCGCAATCGCATATGAGAATATCAATGACACGTTGCAACGTGACCTTCACCAACGCGCCACACACCTGATCCAGCTGCGGATCGGCTTCCCTTCAAGCAGCCTCGCTTCAAGCTCGTGCCGCGCGTACTGAATCGAATGCTTTTCCTCCGAACCTTGACCCGCCGCAGACTCAGCCCGAGCCGCTCCAAGCCTGATCTCCGCGTCTCCCGCCGCGCTGATTCCGCCGCGGAGCCTCCCCACCTCGCGCTCGAGCGCAGCCATCACCTTTGGCGTCTCCGGCAAGCTCCCATTGGCGCGCATCAACACCAATCCCGCCACTTCTTCCGCGCTTAGCGCGTCCTCTTGCAACTCCTGAATGTGACGTGGCTTAAACTCATTCGCTGCGGCTTCCACCGCCGCGGCGAGTGTTTTTTCATCCAGTGACGTGGCAGTTCCTGGGAGGTTGCCTATCGGACGGTAGCCCTTGATCCCCATGTTGATGTGGATCCGACGGTCGGAAATCAAGCAGAAGGAGCGGTCGAGCAGGCCGTTGAAATCGAAGCTCGTGCAGTCCGCGCCGCGGAAATGGGGGTCGCCGTTGGTGTTGGCGAGGGGGTTGCAGATGCCGCCAATATACGTCGGATCCACTTGCTTCACCCAATTGGTCGTGGACAGTCCCGTTAGTGATCCCAGCAAGGTGCATACGCCCGGGGTACTGCGAGATAGAGCGGGAAAGAGGACGTCGATTAGTAATAGTAGAATTATGAAGATAAAATCTGAACTTGAAGATCTGAACTTGAAGATGGGAAAAGCAGTAATGATGTTAATACGATGCGCGGTGCGGCAGGTATAATTATGCTTACGTCAGCTTGCTCAGTCGCCAGTATTTGCAGCCTTCCTTCGCGGCGCAGGAGCGGCAACAATCCGATTCAGAATTCGTGCTCTGCAGGAGATAAACGGGGTAGGATCAGAAAGCATATAAATCAAGTAAGCGTAAACCAAGGTAGCATCATGCGCCACGGTCGAGCTAGAGGTCAAGAATGCAGAACATCATCATGCAAGTAAATTATCGACTGGCAATCGCGGCGCGGCGCGGGCGGCCCAAGCGTAAGTCCGCGTTACATTTTTGAACTTTAAACAGCGGCCTGCCAAGAAATCGATGGTCTAGGGTGAGAGAAAATTACAATATTGCCGAGATTTTGCGGCGTGGTGAACGCGTCGAACACGTAGCGCTCGAAGTTGTAGGTCGCAGTCGTCGGGTAAGTCGGGCCTGACGCGGTCAGATCCTGCGAGTTCGCAACGTAGTACCCCATTTTTAAGTTGACGCAATCGTAGCATCCGCGCGCTGTGGTTATCGGTCCGTGCGGAGCGCTTTCTTGGGGGCTAACCGCAAGAGCCGGGGCGGCGAGCGCGGCGATGAGGGCCAGGAGCCAAAATGCTGTCGCGGCGCCGGTGACGCCATGAACACCACGTGTCATCGTTGCGAGCAAAGAAATGGTGGCGGAGGCAAGAACCGGTTCGCAAATTCGCAGCTTCCCGTTGGGCCTCGCGGCTGGGATTGACAGGTGCAAGACGGCGATGCGGGATAAACGAGGACAGGGGGTGTGAAGGTTTCAAAGAAACAAGTTTTTGTTATTAGTAGGACTAGAATACAGCAGTAATGACTACCGTTTGAATTTGTAGCGGCTTTGTGGCGGGGAGGGGGCACGAGGGATGTGTGTGGCGAACGGAGCAGAGTGATCGGCAGGCTGACGGTGCTTGGCGTGAACGCACCGCACATTTCTCCATTCAAATCGAATCGCGCTAACATTGGCAGGCCGACTTTCGACGACTATCTCCCTGCCATCAAATTGAGGCCACGTCACCTCAACTGGATGCGTCGTCGCAGTTGATGACAAATGTCAAGTGAAGTCCTCGGTGGTGTTAGTCAATGCATTGACGAATTCAGTTACAACTAGCCCCGTCAGCATGTCGTTGTCAAGCAGCCAGCTCCCCCCCCGAACCGCAATTGTACGGATGACAAGGAACAAGCAGTCGCGAAAAAAACGACGAAAGTCCGGGAGGCCTTCCGTTCATAAGGGCGTGGGCCCAAACGGGTTTGATCGTGGCTGATCTGATCGAGTCGGATCTGATCGGGCTGCTTGTGATCGTAGTGCCCGAGCCGCCCGATCAGCGATGATTTTCGAAGAAGATTATCAGCGTTTGCTCAGCAAGCGCGATACATTTGCGTGGCATTTTCGACACCTTTTTAGCGAGATTGACGACCAGGATTCACCTGGCGAAAAAGTTCGTTTCACTGTAAGCGCAACAGTGTAACGATTCGCAAGCGTCGCTGGCTGTCCCGATCACATGCAATCAATTGATTGCCTGTGATCGAGGAAAATCGACTCTGATCTGGGTATAAATCGGGTCTGATTGAGTTGGGGCGATCAGTTGATCGCGATCAGCTGATTGCCCCTGATTGCCTGAAATTGGCTTCCAGGCTTCCTGGAAATTATTGATCGTGGCTGATCGAGGCGATCAAACCCGTTTGGGCCCACGCCCTAAGCATCAGTGAGTGGTGTACGGATCCCCTTCCGTGCAGGAGCAGCGGTGGTGAGTCGTGACTCGTGACGCAAAGACTCCAAAATGTGGTTCTTCGAGCCATGTTGATCCAACTACACCTAACCACCGCTAATTTCAACCCCCCAAAATTTTGTCGTACCCACCGAGGGTTGAAATTGGGCGGAGAAAAAATGTTCCCGTTAATTTCAACCCTCGCGTGTGTCACTGTCACGGCTGAGTCAGGCCTCCAAGGTTTGTGGAAACCCGAGCGCCGAGTAGGGAGCCTCGATCATAAAATCCTGGTTGTGCTATTTTCCGTTAAGATCACTCTCGGTTAAATTCGACTGGAATCTGGAAATGTTTCAGGAAAATGAAAGGTCTCCAACCTAAACATGGAAAAGAATAACTTAGGGCACAAACTTTTACAATCAAAGCATTGACAATCTAATGGCTTATAACAAACAGAGGACAAAGATCACAGCGAAAGGGCAGCTTGTGCCCAATGCACCAAATCAGGGTTGAGCCTGATTCTGCGACGGCGCTCATTAAAGTCGCCCAAAATTGGGCGAAGCACTCGCGCGTAGTGCGAATTGGTGAGCCAATCTTCAAAGTTGCGAACTATTTCGGCTGCCTGCTGTCGGGTGAGGGGGGTGTCAGTTGGCGGCGCATCGTTGAGATCAAAAGGAGCTGGGAACCTCCGTGGAAACGGGACCCATTGACCTACACGCTCTTTTGGCAACCAATCATGCATTGATCCGTCCGTGGGGAAGTGGTCGTCGAACGCGATGAATTGCCGTCCGGTCATTGGAGGGGTGTCAAGTTTCAACTTGCCGATGAGCTTGGTTAGAAGTGTCACGTCTTCGTTCGGTGGATCACGCAGGGGTCCCTCAAAAATACGCCCCAACCCCCACTCCGATAGCCACGAGAACGGGATGATTCCAGCCCGACGCCAACACCGCCTTACCACCTCACCCTCAAAAGAGTTCCATAGCCCACTGATCCATATTATAGCCATTCGCAAATCAGGCCTCACGTTGATCTTCTGCACGGGTAGCTCGGCCGCTACTTGGTCTCCGGCCCGAGTCGATGAAGCGGACGGTTTCTCGAACTCGGTAATAAGCCACTCGACAAGAAGTTTGCGGTATCGCAACTTCAGGGTTGAGATCACCCCTTGATCAAGAGGTTGGACATGCGATGTGCAGTTCGGAGGTAAGTATATTACTCGCACATTGCCCACGTCGACGTACTTGAAGCCTTGCAAGTATCCCTCAATTGCACCCTCAATCTTCACCACCTTGTGGGAGCTCGCGTTGTCGACGAGTAGAACTATTCTCCGGCCTTTCTCAGTCATGTTGGCATCTAGGATGTCCACCCATTGGGAGAATATCTGGATGGGCGTATAAATAGAGGGAGGGAGAAGCACAATGGTCGTAGAGATTGTGAGGTATAGGCGTTGCTTCGAGTGGTATCCATGTGTGCGTACAATGCGGGTTATCAAAATGCACAATGAATTGCATACCTCCGATGTCATCCATGCCTTCTTGTTCGACCGGTAGAACACGTAGTCTTGAACGTCAAAGTCGTTTTTGAACGATCTTGGACGCTTAGCTTTCCCAATGACAATGGGCGACCGAAAATCCGAACCATCGGCGTTGACGCACAATGCGAGCGTGAAGCGCTCCTTGTCCAATTTACCACCGGACACGGGCTCGCTCGCAAACGTGCGGCGTGGTTGCTGTCCCTGTACGAAGCCGGTCTCATCCAAGTTGTACACATCGCAAGCCTCATAACCTTGTAGAAGGATTGGAAGGGTCTCGCGAGCCATGCCTATGGATTCGGAGTTAGCGTCCGCGGCCTCGCCTTTCCTAATATATGATGCCATTCCCATGCGGGCCAATGCACGACAAACCCATCCGTCTGTTACCACGAAGTCAGGGTTATCACGAATGGTCCTTCCAATTGACACCGCCTTGCGCAAAAGGATTTGGAACGTAAGCGGTACATTCTCGACATTCTTCTTAAGCGCCCACTCTCGTAGGCGTGTCTCCAAAGCGGGATAACGTCCAGCGGTCAGACGCTTACGCGTGCCCTGAAGCAACGTCCTTCCCGTCCATCGAGCACCGTATTTGAGAATCTTAGAGACGGTTGTGTGGTGAGGCGTTTTGCTAAAAGTAGTGTCCAACCATTTCACAAGCTCTTTGTGAGTGATTCCATGGTTTTTGCTATGGTGCTCCACCAGAGCCCTCTTCTCGGCAATAGTAAGAGCGGTATTGCGTCGCGCAGTAGGCATGGCGGTGGCAACCGTAGATGGAGTAGTTAACTTGAGTGGGAGAGATGTGAGTTTTTGTAAGCTCGCGGGATGTCGAGAGTAATTTTGTCAGCTCTGGAGCTGTCTGGCATTTCGTCAGTGCGCTTGGTTGTGGATGGTTTGGTGCGCAAAATTCTCCTTCGTAGAATGTGTGGCGATTCCGGGAATCTGACGTGACAATGTGCTCTGAACATTTCAAATTTCTCTCTTGTGGTCATTGCATTGACTATCGCGGAAATTTGAATCACCAATGGGTTTCATGCACGTCACATTCGTCCCCCTTGACGACAGTGTTGTTGCACCCTTCAGCCATAGGTTTTTTTTCCGCACCTAGGTTCCCGAAATGGAGGTGCGGTGCATTCCGCACGCTTTGGGGCGCTCTGTTCTGTACATGCTGACGCGGAAATTCAGTTTCCAGCGCATAAAGTCTGTGTTCATGTTAGAATCTAGCAGCAGGAATGGGTGAACTAACAGGATGCAGGAGTACAAGTAGTAAACCCTAATTGGGTTGTACCCCATATGGGCTACCCCACTACAGCCTAGACAATATGCAGCACATATAGTTTGACACACCCCCATAGGCAAAGTGGGGGAGAACAAGAGGTCACACGACCAGTCAAGAGAAGCAAAACAAGCTCAGGGTGGATCACAACGTCACCACGCATTCCGAGCACAAGCAAAGGGCCACAGGGCCAGTTCACATGCAGAGATATATATGCAGCAATAACAGTACAGTGATGGCTACCTAGCAAGAGCCAGCATGCATATATATATATATATGTACAGATCACAGTACAAGCAGAGACTACAGCAAGTGTGGAAACGTAGGCACAAGGCCTAACAGAGTACAAAAGCGCTGATGATCACCAGACGGAAGTGCCTTGGTGAATATATCAGCAGTGTTGGCCCGAGTGGCCACGTGGCGAAGACGAAGCTGGCCTCGCTGCTGCAACTCTCGAGCCAGGAAGTACCGCAGAGCAATGTGCTTCGTTCTGTGCTCCAGTCTGTGCTCCTCACACAAGGCAATGGCGGCCTTGTTGTCAACGTACAGCACTGGAGGAGAACGAGGCTGCTCTCCCAAGTCAGTCAGCAGGTAGGTGAGCCAGCGTAACTCCTGTGCAGCCATGGCGGTGGCGTAGATCTCAGCCTCACAACTGGAGCCGAGAACTGAAGACGAGCGTGTAGAACGCCACGAAACTGAACCAGAGCCAAGGCTGAAGGTGTAACCCTGTGACGACCGCTGAGTAGCCAGGTCGTCAACCCAAGAAGCGTCTGAGTGCCCAGTGAGGACAACTGGGCTCGTCCCTCCAAGCACTAGCCCCATGCCTGATGTGCTGCACAAGTAACGCAGTACCCTCTTAGCAGCAGCCATGTGCTCAGGTCGGTGCCGACCAGGAGCCACGTAGCGAGCCAGGAGACCAAGAGGGTACGCGAGGTCAGGTCGAGTGCAAGTCATCAGGTACATGAGGCAGCCGACTAGCTCTGGGTAAGGACCACTCGGCTCTACGGACTCGTCCGAAGGTGGAGCTGAGAGCGTGTGACCTGTAGCCAGAGGAGTGGCCTGTGCTGAAGACCAGGTGAAGCCGAAGCGCTGAAGGACCTGCTGCACCATGTGTGACTGAGTCAAGGTGATGGTGCGACGTGCTCTGTCTCGGGTGATCTGCAAGCCAAGGTAGCTGCGCAGCTCACCCAAGTCTGTGCACGTGTGTCTCTTCTGCAGCTCCGACTTCACGTGGGCGAGAGCCTCAGTGTCAGCAGTGGCAAAAACCAAGTCGTCGACGTACACGAGGATGTAGAACGGCGGCAGGGAAGTGTCGGTGCGCAGAAACAGCGACGGGTCAGCAGTAGAAGGCGCAAACCCAAGAGCCGCAAGCGTAGTCCTCAGTGTGTCGTGCCACTCACGTGGCGCCTGGCGGAGACCGTAGACCGGCCGCCGGAGGCTCCACTGGGTACCAGGAGGGAACGACCCAGTGAAGCCCGGGGGGCGGCTACCCTGCAAGAAAGCTGTGCTGAAGTCAAGAGAGTGAAGCTCGTAGTCACGGTGAGCAGCAACGTGCAGCAGCACCCGAAGAGTGGTCATCTTCGGGGTGGGGGAGAAGGTCTGGAAGAAGTCAACTCCCTCTCGCTGACTGAAGCCTCGAGCCACGTAACGCGCCTTGAAGACAGGCGGAGAACCCGGCGGCCGCTTCACCCTGAAAATCCACATGCCACTGACGATGTTCGCCCCAGGTGGGGGAACCTCGTCAACGTAGGTGCCTGTGGACTTCCAGGAAGCCATCTCTGCGTCCATGGCTGCCTGCCACTGAGAGGAGTAGGGACCCTCTATCGCCTCTGCGTAAGAGCGCGGAGTCGGGATGTCTGGTGCATCCGGGTCTCCCTCAGGGGCAAGTAGCGAGGACACAAGATGAGGTAAAGCAGCAGCAAGACACTGGAACTCCTCCTGCCTGTCCTCAAGGACGTCCGTGCTAAGAGCACACTCACCCCCGACAGACGGAGGACAGACAGACTCAGACTCAGCAACAAGACTAGCGGCGTAGTCTAGACGACAGGCAGCAGCAAAGTCAACAAGCTCAGCGACCAAGGCAGACGCAGCAGTAGACTCAAACGACGGGTCAGTGACAACAGTGGCTAGGAGACGCGTGACAGTAGGGTGCTCAGTACGAAACCTGTCAGACTCAGGGTCCGGAACGGCAGGCAGAGAGGACGCAGGGGGAGACGGCAGAGGAACAGGCTGCAGAGCAGAGGAAGGACGACGGACTACGAGGCGTGCGCTGGGGACAGCCGGCTGACGCAAACGAGGAACACGACGACCGGTACGACCAGGACGAGCAGGCGAGACAGGACGCGACGCAGGCTCACGACGCTCAGCAGGACTACCAGTCTGCTCAGTGTAAGGAGAAGGAGCAGGCAGCGGTGAGCCAGGCTGTAACGGAAGACCAGTAGACGACGGGAGAGTAACAACCTGACGAAGAGCAGAGTCAGGCGGCGGCAGAGATGACGGAGACGGCGGAGCGAAGAACAGCCGTGTCGGCGCAGCTGCACCAGTACCGGCAGCTCCAGCAGCTCCAGTGCCTCCAGCAGCTCCAGTACCTCCAGCAGCTCCCGTACCTCCAGCAGCTCCAGAAGCTCCAGTCCCAGGGTCTCCAGCCTCAGTGTCTCCAGCACGAGCACCTCCAGAACCAGCGACTCCAGCACCTCCAGTAGACAAAGGACCAGCACCACTCCTAGCTCCAGCAGCGCGACGCTGACGGCGACCGTACCAGTCCTGCAGCTGCTGTGGGGTGAGAGGCACACGTGGACGAAGGCGGCCACTCCAAGGAGACCGCGCAACAGCAGACTCAGAACCCTCAGCGCCCGCACCCCCAACGGCTCCAGAACCTCCGGTGTCAGTACCCTCAGCACCAGTACCTCCAGCGGCTCCAGAACCTCCAGCGCGAGCACCCTCAGCAGCTCCAGAACCTCCAGCTCCAGCGCCACCAGGACTAGGCCCTCCAGCAGCTCCCGAACCTCCAGCGCCACCACCCTCAGTAGCTCCAGAACCTCCAGTGTCAGTACCGCCAAGCTCAGCACCCCCAGACCCCTCACACTCAGGCTCAGCACCACCAGGCTCCACACCCTCAAGCTCCGCACCCTCAGGCTCAGTACCCCCAGGCTCAGCACCCTCAGGCTCCGCACCCCCAGGCTCAGCACCCCCAGAAGTAGTACCCCGAGCAGGACCACTCTCAGTAGGACCTGAGTCACCAGTGACCTCAACCGGCGCAGTCAAGGGAGGAAGGTCTACCTGAGAAACACCTGAAGGAGCAGGACCGGGAGCGGGGAGGGGGTCTACCTGGGGAGCACCTGGAGCGAGGAAGAGCGGCGGGGGGGGGAGCGAGGCAGTGCGGTAGGGGAAGAGACGGTAAAAGGGAACCGACTCGTCGAACGTGACGTCCTGAGACGCAAAGACACGGCGCGAGGCGGGGTGGTAAAACTGCCAACCAGGCGCGTCAGGGACAAAGCCAAGGAAGACACAGGGAACAGCGCGGGCGGAGAGCTTGTCCGCGGTGGTATCGCGGACAAAGGCACGAGCACCCCAGACCTGGAAACGCGACGCATCGCCAACCTTCCCCGTCCACAGCAGTGTGGGCGAGGTCTCCGGCAAGGAGACACGGGGCCAAAGGTTGAGCTGATGCGCGGCGTACCGGACCGCAAACGGCCACAGAAAATGGGGGGCAGCCGCATGGATCATGGAGGTACGAGCGGCCTCCATGACTAAGCCAATGCGGCGCTCAGCAACCCCATTCTGCTGCGGAGAGGCCGGAAGCGTGAACGACTGGGTGATGCCGTGCTCCGCACAGTAGGCTGCCAAGAGGTCGGAGGAGAACTCACCACCTCTGTCAGAGTGCAGACGCAGGACAGGAAAGTCCGACCGGAACCGCTCGCGGAGCTGGAGACGAACAGCGCGGATCCAGGGGATCAAAACAGCAGGGACATCCGCCTTGGTCCGCAAGGGGAAGACCGTGGTGTAACGCGTGTAGTCGTCGACAACCAGCAGGAAGTACCGCTCGTGGCCCTGTCCCTGGACGCGGGCTGGGCCCCAC